TGGGGTTTCGTGCGTGAACAATGTTGGTGCGAATGGACTTGGCATCCTGTTCCAGCGTCATGACCTTGATTACTCTCTTCACCATGTCGTGGGGGGCCGTTTCGTAGGCACTAACTTCGTGGTGGCGGTCGCCGATAGTGATGGCTTGTAGTTGTCTGTACTTAGCAACGTGAGAGGCATGGGGTTCGCTCCCGACGATGATGTTTGGGTACTTGTTAGAGCCCACCGCGTCCTCCCCTGCTTTTTTCACCAGTACGTTGGCCGCGCGGTACGTACACCATGCGAGGAGCACAGTTATAGTGGTGATCACGTCGAGGCTTCCTTGGGGTCGTATCGTGACCTTGAAATCGTTTCGCGGGAGTAGGGGCTTTTTGAAGTTCTTTATGACTTGCTGTTTGATGTTATGCTGTAGTCAACGCGAACGCCGTTGGTGGCAATCCGCTCCCTCGCCGATGCAGGAGGGGGCTCCGTGTTGCTCTGCGCGTTCATGCGGTTAACTTGGGTCTTGGATGCAATAGTGTACCAGTCTGTGCTCTCTAGAAACTCCTCGGGAGAGATATCTTCTCGATTCACTTGAGGACTTCCATCGTTGATGGGCGAAGCAAGCGCCCGCGTGAGAGCGAAATCGCTCAGCGCATCTTCTTGGGTAGCGGGCTTGCGTGAGCGTCGGGCCAGTCGGGTGCGAGTAAAAAAATGGAAGCATATCCGCGGAGTGATTGATGGAGAGTGGGGCCCAGTCGTGCGTCCATCCCAGCGTCCGTCCATGCATCTGCCCCTGCGTCTGTCCACGCGTCCATCCGTCCGTGCAGCCATCCATGCGTCCATCCATGCATCTGTCTGTGTGTCCATTCGTCCATCTATTCAACACCCCAAGTACCACCATTTCGCATATTTTATCATATATTCCCCATATAGAAGCACCGCCATCCAGCGCACATTCCAAGGACTAAACGAGAGGTGCCACACGCACACTTCCTTACGGCTGCGCTTCGTGCCTACTTCCCACCTTAAACCACCTCGACTTCATGGTATATACTAGTTCACTGTATTCATAGCACTGCGGCTCAACGTTCGCTAACCTTTCTAAAACCAGCGAGTATAACGTAGCAACCCTTTCTTGTCAGATAGTGTTCAATGTACATGCAAGTGGCTGTTAATGGTGAATGAGAGACAGGAAAATTCAGCTTTTAGTTAACGCGCACGCTACGAATTTTTTATTGTTCACCAAAGCACAGGAGAAATCTCCCACCGGCACCACCTTACAGGTCAAAGTGTAGGACATGTTATGCACTACTACGAGGAACGAAAGGGTGCGGCTTTGAAAAGCTTCGCACCTCTCAAGTTCGATAAATAAATCCTTTCCCACCTTGAGGTTTGTTGTCAATGGGAACCTGGTGACATTCCACAGGCGTTGTTGTGAAATTCATAGGCTGAATGATCGAAAATAATTACCAAATTAGTCTTGGAAGATGGAGCCGACGTGATGAAGGTCCGCTTCCTTCTGCGACCCGCGTGTTTCTCCAAAAAATAAAGGATAAATTCTGATATTTCACGGTTAAAAAAAAAGAAAATTGGCAGATCCCACGTACAGCGGGAATCGATAATGTGCGAAGCACGAATGAGAAATGTTGATTCAACCTTCACCGTCTATTCACGTCACGTAATGCCATATTTAGTATATGTAGTGCTTGCAAAAACGGCCGCGTGCGCGTATGAGCACGGTGCGTTGTCATGTTCTCACATGACACGCGTGTCAGGAATATTATGTTTGCACCACTCATATATTTAGTCATCCATTGATGTCACGTAACACCAAACTTGGTATATGTGGAGCTAGCAAAATGGCCGCGAATGCATTACTCCAATGTAGCGTTGACGTGTGCTCACGCTGGGCACAGCGACGCTACGTTAGCAAAACGCGAGCACTCGTATTCTTAGGTCAGACGGGACAAGCGCCCGTCAACACAGCCTGACGGCAAACCGCACGAAATGCGACGTGCTGCATTTCGCACCGATGCGTTACCCAAACAACACTGCGCCTTCTTTTCGTAACGGAGGGACGCCAGACACGCTGAAACGCGCATGCGTCAAAGCAACACAGCAGGCGCGTGCCTGCGAGTATATGGTAGGACCGGCGCCTGGCGTGGCAACGCCGTCGTGACGCGACAAAATGAACGCCGGCGAGCACGCGCACCACCTCATGTCAAAATGTATTGGCGCCTTGACTGTAGCATATAGTCATGGTCTTATATGACATACATCTCATGATTATCATGTCTGCACAAGTCACATACCTTCTTCATCCACTGGCGTCACGTAATACAAAATTTGCCACATGTGAAGCTAGCGAAGTGGCGGTGAGCGCATCATCAATGTGGCATGTAGTCATGTTGTTACGTGACACGCATGTCGTGATTATCATTTTCGGATTTGTCATTTACCTATGTCGTCCGTTCGCGTTGCGTAATACCAAGTTTAGTACATGTGAAGCTAGTGAAACGGCCACGAGCACATCATAAGCGTTGCTTGTAGTACGTTGTTACATGTCACGCATCTCATCTTTATAATTTTTGCACCAGTATCATAGCGGCGTTATCCAATCACGTGCCGTAATACCGAATTTGGTATAAGTGAAGCTAGCGAAACGGCCACGAGCGCATCATGAGTGTGTCATGTAGTGATGCTACATGACACGCATCTCACGTTAATCATGTTTGCATCAGTATCATACCTTCGTCATCCACTCATATCTCGTAATACCAAATTTGGTCTAAGTGAAGCGAGCGAGACGGCCGTGAGCGCATCATGAGCGTAGCATGTAGTCATGTTCTTACATGAATACATCTCATGATTATCATGTTTGCGCCGCGCCATGGTGGTCTAGTGGCTGAGGTACTTAGCTGCTGACCCGCAGATCGCGGGATCAAATCCCGGCTACGGCGGCTGCATTTCCGATAGAGGCGGAAATGCTGTAGGCCCGTGTGTTCAGATTTGGGTGCACGTTAAAGAACCCCAGGTGGTCGAAGTTTCTGGAGCCTTCCACTACGGCGTCTCTCATAATCATATGGTTGTTTTGGGACGTTAAACCCCACATAATAATCAAATCAATTATCATGTTTGCACCAGTCACATACCTTCGTCATCCATTCACGTCCCGTAATACTAAATTCGGTATATGCAAAGCTAGTGAAACGGCCGCGAGCGCATCGTGAACGTGGCATGTCGTCATGTTGTTACATTGCACGCATATCATGATTTTTATGTTAGGGTCTGTCGCTTGTGTTCGCCATGCAATCATGTGCAATACCATACCAGGCAATACCATACCATTTTTGCAATATGCCATGTGAACAAAACCGCCACGAAAGCTGTAGGGCCACGGAATGTAAATCATGACATTCATGACATACATGTCACGATTTTCATGTTATGACTTGCGAAATATGTTTCTCATACAGTCATGTTGTGCCATACCAAGATTGGTATTTATACCATTATCTAAACAGCCACGAGAGCTAAATGTCCTAGGCGGCTAGATAGATAGATACATAGATAGATAGATAGATAGATATAGAGATAGATAGATAGATAGAAAGATAGAGATAGATAGATAGATAGATAGATAGATGATAGATTGATAGATATATAGATTGTAACGAAGAGCGGCGGGGCAGCTGTGGGTTATGGGCTAGAAAGCGAAAAAGAGGAGGCAGAATAGAACAGAATTCCTGACTTTACAGCTTGCCCGACGAACGGGTGTTGTATCTGTCTCGCTTACTACAATGGCGCAGCCGTTTAATGAACCTGTGTGCGACTACCCGCGTGAAGAAACCGTCCTATGGAGCGGACGCACTCTACAGCAGCCCGCAGCTCCTGCTACCGTGGCCATGGCATCCGACCTGGCCACCACGGGTACCTAAGCCAGCACGCTGCCTGCAGGCGTCCTTGCCAAACCACAAGGTGACTCCACTGACTTGGCTTCGCAAACCGCCTCCTTGCCCAGGGACGCCGTACACGCTCCCTTGGACTTCACCTCAGGTACCATCCCTGGAGCAACGTCGGTACCGTCGCCAGAAGACAGGCGTAATTCCTCGCCTGTAGCCGCCAGTGAACTCTGCACGGTTCTGCAGGCCATCGCTACTTCGAGCCAGCGTCTTGCAGACGCCACCGTCGCCTTCTCAGCAGCCTGTGCACGCACCACGTTGCCTCCTCCATCTATGGCAGAAATTCCTGTCTTTACTGGCATTGATCAAGACCCAACCGTCTGGCTGGATGAAATTCATTCGTTGGCCCGTCGACATGCATGGACTGACGACGTGACGCTATCGCTAGCCGTAAGCAAAGCGTGGCAACAATACGATGGCTGCAAGTAAAAATCGTGGAGTGACTGGACTAAAGCCTTCGTCACGGCCTTCCCACCACTTCCATCCGCATACGACGACCATTTCATGCGCATGCGATCGCGTCGGCAGGCTCCATCGGAAGACGCCCGTAAATACGTCTACGATAAGCTCGGGCTTCTCGACAAATGTGGCATTACATGGATCTCTCCCGCTGCCCGCCAATATGTAGTTGATGGCTTGGCTGACCCCACCAATGCTGCCATCTTATCTTGCCAGTCACCTGAAGCGTCACCCCGGGTTTTCGCTCAAAAGGCAGCCGAACTTCAGCAAAACTTTTGTCGTCGGCTTTGCATGGACACATTACCGACTGTCCGTTCGACCTACGCTTCCACACAACACGGATGCTTCAAGCACGAATGCGGTCGCATTGGCCACAACGCCAAGGAGTGTCGTCAACCTTTCCCGACCCGAATCCACTACCAAGCTTGTCAAACTCCTCGGATGTCCATTCATGTTGAGGGAATAGGTGACCTATCTGCTCTGCTGGATACCGGTGCGGAATGAACGGCGGTACACCGACGTCATGCTCCGGACACTATTCGACCGTGGACGCAACCTCCCCTCGGCGGACTTGGAGGAAGTGCCATGCCAGTCGGAATGCTCGACATTTCAGTCCGAACGGCAGCGGGCACTAAAGTTCTTCCAGCCATTCTCGTCTTTGAAGACCTCCCTGCCGACATGATCCTTGGTGCTGAATTCTTGCTATCTGATGACATTGAGCTCACCATACATCGTGGCCACGTCGAGCTCCGGTCTTCGACAGCTGGGACTACCGCCACAACCCTGCCACCACCGACAGGTGAACCGTCCACTCCGCCTACCTTATCTTATATATTGGCTCACCATCAGCCAGTATTCGCTAGCAATACAGCAGAACTGCCAGGCACTAATTTGCTGCTCCATCGCATACCAACGGGAGATCATCCGCCAATATGCATACCACTGCGACGATACGCTGAACGAGAACGGGCAGTTATCGCAGAACAAGTAGATGAAATGCTTGCCGCGGGCATTATTAGGCCGTCATCGATTCCGTGGGCAGCGCCAGTCGTCCTTGTTCGCAAGAAAAACGGATCACTACGCTTCTGCGTGGACTACTGGCTGCTCAATGGGTGTACAATGCCTGACTCCTACCCTTTACCCCGCATTGATGACGCTGTTGATACAGTACGTCACTGCAAATTCTTTTCGTCGCTTGATTTACGCGCAGGGTACTGGCAGATTAACGTCGCGGAGGAAGATCGATGTGAAACGGCCTTTCGCACACCTTTCGGGTTGTATGAATTCAACCGCATGCCGTTTGGACTACGAAGGGCTCCTAGCACTTTTCAGCGTGCGATGAATTCAGTGCTCGGACCATTGTAAAATCAAGCCTGTGTGGTGCACTTAGACGACATCCTGGTCGTTGGCAGGTCGGAGGATGAACACCTTCGCAATTTGGACGAAGTACTACACAGATTCTATGCAGCACGGTTTCGTTTGAACAAAGAGAAATGCCAGTTTTGGGTGTCCATGATTTCGTACCTGGGACATAATATATATCCTGTCGGCATTCAGCCACTCCCGGAGCGAATAGATGCCGTGTCGCAGTATCCCACACCAACCTGCTTGAAGCAGGTTCAGTCATTTCTGGGTATGGCGTCGTATTTGCGAAGGTTTGTTCCCCACTTCACTTCGATCGCAGCTCCCTTGAGCGGTATTTTTAAAAAAAGACGCGCGGTTTGAGTGGGGCGTCTCACAAGAACATGCATTTTGAGCTATGAAACAAAAGCTCACTTGTTGCCCCATACTAAGTCACTTCAATGAAGACTGGTCCACCGAAGTGCACACTGATGCCAGCCAAGTCGGCCTAGGAGCTGTGTTAGTGCAGCGCGATCCAGATGGCGTGGAACACGTGGTCGCTTATGCCAGCCGAAAGCTTTCAGGCACCGAGCGCCACTATCACTCCAACGAGCTTGAATGTCTTGCAGTGGTATGGAGCGTCGATGGTAAGTTTCGACACTATCTTTTCGGGCGTAAATTCACTGTTGTGACTGATAATGCTGCTAGAGCATGGATGTTCTCCAAGCAGCAACTTAAGCACAAATTTGCCCGGTGGATAATCACGCTGCAAGAATAGGATTTTGACGTGCGCCACCGCGCCGGGGTGCTAAACAACGTCGCCGATGCACTCTCACTGAACCCCCTTGACTGCGCGCAACAAACCAGGTAAACCCACATATTTTTCGCCCGGATGGATATATCCCGAGCCCAACAGAAGGATAAAGATTTGGCATCCATTATTGCATTTATTACTTACAAGGGAAATCACAGTACTTTTGTGATGCGCAATGCCGAATTGTACCGGCGTCACTGGCGAGTGGACCGATCCGAAGAACGTTATTTCCTGGTGATCCCGAAATCCCACAGGTCAGAAATATTTTGAGCCATTCACAATTCCTCAGAAGGCGGACACACCGGCCAACGAGCCACACTCCGGAAACTACAAGAACATTTTTGGTGCCGAAGATGCAACGTAGCGTCCGTTCGTATGTCTCCAGTTGCAAAATTTGCCAGCAGTTTAAGCGACTGCCTGGGTGTCAACCTGGAGTACTAACACCAATCCAGATACCCGAAACAATTTCCCACACGATTCGCATTGATTACATGGGACCTATACCCACCACCACTGCGGGAAATCGTTACGTCATTGTAGCAGTAGACTACCTGTCGCAATACGTGGATGCGGAGGCCGTGCCATCTCTTGCATCCACTTACCTAATCGACTTCCTGAAGCACCGATTTGAATGGAGACATGGCTTACCAATAAAGTTAATATCTGATCGGGCTACAACGTTTCGTAGCGGGGAACTGAAAAAGTACCTTTGCACGGCAGGCGTGCAGCACCACTTCGCATCCGCGTTTCATCCTCAAGCAAACGGCCTTACTGAGAGAACCAACGAGAACATCCAGGCACGACTCGCTCCATATACGAAGGCAGGGACAAGAGGAGAGGCCGAGTGGGACGTCCACCTTCCGTCAGCCGCTTTTGTGATTAACACGGCACTGCAGACGTCTACCGGGGAAACGCCCTACGAAATTGTGTATGGGAAACTACCACAGCTGAAAGTGGTCCTCAGTCTGGATGCTCCCATTATAATTCCACGTGCCAACAATCGCAAAGCGGCCTGTCAGAAGATCCGAACTGAGGCGATCAAGAAAGCCACCTACGCACAAGAAAATCAAAAGCGCCACTATGACAGACGCCGTAGACCCACTCCTGCTTACAACATCGGTGCAAAGGGGCACCAGCGGGCCTGGCAGGAAGCTGCTCCCTAAAATCGACGGGCCATTCATAATTACTTAGCGTGTAAAAGAAAATACCTGGCGTGTAAACACCTCAGATGCGAACTTCACTCTGGATAAACGCAAAAGGCTTGGTGTGCCATTGCACCTTGATACGCTGACATGCTCTGCAAGTGCGAACACATTAATGAATGTTAGCGTGTATGCACGGCCAGGCATAGCGTTCAGTGACCAGATGTTGCCTAGCTCTTACGCCTGGATGGCAGATTGAGTGGAGGGTGTCAAAAACAACTTTGCCGTGCATGTGTCACGCTTGAAAAAAGCAGTCGGACCGCTGCAGGTACAATGAACTGTAATTTCTTTTTTTTTTGTTGTGAGGTCCGCAGTGGGGCTGAATGTAACGAAGAGCGGCGTGGCAGCTGTGGGCCACGGGCTAGAAAGGGAGGAAGAGGAGGCAGAATAGAACAGCTTGCCCGACGAACGGGTGTTGTGTCTGTCTCGCTTACTACAAGATAGATAGATTCGCTCAAAATCACCAAAGTTCGCTAAGAAATGCTTCGCATTTAATACGGGTGCTATTGTGGGATTACATTCGTACGCTCATATTCTCGCGCTTCGCGCATCGCGCAGACGCTATCCATGTCTCATTATCATCATCATCATCATCATCATTCGACTACGCGCACTACAGGGAAAGGCTGCTCCCATAAAACACCAATCGACACAGTGTTGTGCTTTGCGCGGTCACGTTACACTTATAGCACTCTGAAACGTGGTTCCGATAACACAGCGTGGTTTATTATTGCATCTCCGCCATTGTTCCAACTCCTTCTTCTTTCTCCTCAGCAGACTACCCACTACTTGCTTATATCCCAAGTGTGTCGTGCCAGAAGGAGAAAAAAGTATGCCGCAGATAGGCCCCCCTGCAGACAAGTGGGCGTGGGCAGTTGAAGAAAAAAAAATATCAGACGGAGCTTGTCAGAACGGGTGCCGGTTTGATCCTTTCAATGCTGACTGTGTCTTCATGCCCATTACGCAGGATTGTATAATGATGTTCAGAACGCTTGATGACTGGGGAAGGACCGCCATAGCGAGGCTGAAGAGCACGGTGAGACGCATCGACATGAACAAAAACGTGTGAAGATGTCTGTAGGTTTGCCGGCAGAAAAACATCGTCCGTAGTGTGAGCTGATGTTGGTGATGGGCTCAAGTTTCGCATGAAGATCCGCAGACGCTGGACGAAAGAAGATGGATCCGAAACACTGAAACACTCTGCGTAGTAACGGGGATGACGAGGTCACCAGGCAAACGGAGTGTGCAGCCATAAACCATCTCGGCTACAGAGCAGGGAAGTTCTGGCCGAAGTGTTTAACGCAGGCTGAGAAGCACGATGGGGAGGTGTGATACCCAATCTTCGGCGTGAGGCTGTGAGGCGAGTGCTGCTTTTAGATGATGGTGGAGTCTCTCCACTAAGTCATTTGATGCTGGATGATACGCATTTGTGCGAATACGCGCACAACCAAGTAGAGATGTGACAGAGGTGAAAAGCGCTTGCACCGTTGATGGTACACCGAAACGGCTAATTAAGGTAGCAAGAAAGGTGCGAGCAACTGTTTCTGCCGTGATATCAGGCATTGGAGCTGCTTCAGGCCACCTGGTGTACCTGTCAATACACGTAAGCAAATACGTATTTCCCCGACATGGAGGTAATGGCCCGACAATGTCCAAACGAATGGTGTCGAAACGTGCATCAGGGAGAGGGAATTTTCCCGGTGGAGGCTTGGTGTGCTGTTGCACCTTGATACGCTGACATGCTCTGCAAGTGCGAACCCAGTCACGAATGTTAGCGTGTATGCACGGCCAGACATAGCGTTCAGTGACCAGATGTTGCGTAGCTCTTACGCCTGGATGGCAGATGGAGGGGAGGGTGTCAAAAACAGCACGACGAAGCTGTGAAGGAACATAGCTACGAGTGCAGTTGTGTGAATCATCGCACCAGAGCGTAACGTCGTCGTCGGGGAAGTTGACTTGCTCCAACCAAAGGGAAGTAGAGGATCGCAGTCGTGGAAGCTCATCGTCTAATGCCAGTGCCTCCGCGAGCGAGGACAATGAAAGGTCGGTGGTGCCTGTCGTGGCATTAATGATAATACGACTGAGAGCGTCCGCTGCACTGTTATAGCTGTCTTTTACATAACGTATGTCTTTGGTGAACTCGGCAATGAAAGCAAGGTGTCGAAGTTCTCTAGGAGTGTGCGTGGCACTGCAGGAACGTAAAGACGAAACAAGGGGCTTGTGGTCGGTATGAATGGCAAATTGTCGCCCTTCAAGTAAGTACCTGAAATGCTTCACCGCAAGGTAGGCCGCGAGGAGCTCCCGTCCGAAAGTACTATATCGGCGCTAAGTGTCGCGTAAATTGCGGTAAAAGAAGGAAATCGAAGCCCATGCACCATTGTTCCATTGATGAAGAGCGTCCCCAACTGCTTCTGAAGAAGCGTTCACCATGAGGCTAGTGGGAGCAGTTGGTGAAGGGTGGTGCAGGAGGGTGGCCTGGGCGAGTTCGGTCTAAACGGCGGCAAGAGCATGATCCGTGATCGTGTCCCAGGGAAGTGCGGCTGACTCGGCTTGCAAAGTTGAGAGTAGTACTTCCAGAGGCTGCAGCAGTGTAGAGCATGTAGGGATGAAGCGGCGATAAAAATTGACGAGTCTGAGAAAACGTCGTAGACTGCGTATGGAGGTGGGAGGCGGGTACTCGAGGATGGCTTGAACCTTGTCAGGTAGAGGAGTGGTGCCATCTTTAGTGATCTGATGTCCAAGGAATGCTATCTCCGAGACTCCAAACTGACACTTTTCTACATTGACGGCAAGGTCGTTATCACGCAGTCGAGTGAAAAGCTGATAGATGTGCCTTCTGCGTTTCAGCGTCCTTGCTGGCAACGAGAAGATCGTCGATATAGGCGAAACAAAACGGTAAGCTTCTTGTGACTTCGTCTATAAAACGCCGAAATGTCTGAGCTGCGTTTCTCAAACCGAAAGGCATTAGTAAATACTCATAGAGCCCAAATGTGAAATTATAGCAGTTTTGGGAATGTCAGAAGGCTCAACGGGGATCTCGTAATAAGCTTTCCCAAGATTAATTTTCGAGTATACGGTTGTGCCGGTTAAAAAGGCAGTACAGTCCTGAATATTAGGTAGCGGGTATCGATCTGGAACGGTGACTGCATTGAGAGCCCGATAATCACCACAGGGCCGCCAGTCATTGTTCTTCTTGGGAACCATGTGTAGCGCCGACGACCACGGGCTTGATGACGGACGAATGATTTGCAACTGTAACATATGCTCAAACTCGTTGCGAGCAATTATAAGTTTATCAGGGCCAAGTCGGTGAGGGCAGCCGTGAACCGGTGGTCCGGTGGTAACGATGCAGTGGGTCACAGTGTGCTTGGGGGTCTTATCCATGGGAGACTGCGTTGTAGTCTCCGGAAACTCTTTGAGCAGAGCTGTATATGGTGACGTGGTCAGTTTCACGAAAGTGGTGATTAGGGCCGTAGCGTGTGACAAAAAACCATTGACCGATAAGCCGATATGGCTATCCACCAGGCGACACCGGTTCATATCCACGAGCAGATGAAAATGCCTTAAGAAATCGGCGCCTAAGATTGCATAGCGTACGTCTGTTATCTGAAATAACCACTGCAGTTTCCTCTTAAGACCCAGATCAAGGGTCAGAGACTTCTGTCCGTAAGTTGCGATGACCGAAGAATTGATCACTTGTAAAGAAGTTGACTTTTCGCGAAGACGCCGGTCAGTTTTGGACGCTGGAATTTTGCTGACTTCTGCTCCAGTGTACACCAGCAAGCGCAGCAAGCGCAGCAGCAAGCCTGTGGTTCTGTCGGTGATGTGGAAGAGGTGGCTTGATGCTTGACCTCGATCGCCCGCCGCTGTTATTGACGATTGACCGGAGCGTTTCCCATGCGCCATGAGCAAGGTGGCACACATCTGCGAGTCGCGGCATGAAAACGCCGGTGATAACAGCAAGTGTTCTGCGGTGAAAAGCAGTGCTCGGGCTGGTGAAGGGGCCGTTGCGGGGCAGCCGACGTGAGAGATGGTCGATGTGGACGAGGCTGGTCATTTAAGTTGCGAATGCTCAGCAATTGCAGACGCAAGTCGGTGACTTCAGCTGCGAGATTTTTTACCTTTTCTCGAAGGGAATCTGCTTCGGAAATCGGAGAGGTGTGGGCAGCGTTTATGACTGCCGGAGCAACGTCCATCATGTTGTCGGCCATTTCTGCCAGCTCCGACTGCGGCTTATCCTGAGCTGGGACAAGAGGCATTCGCATGGTAGGTGGAAGACGCTGTAAAAACAACTCACGTAGTACGGATGTTTCCGAGCCGTCCGGCTGGTCCCCAAGCAGGTGCTGCAGGTGACGTAGAAACTGTGGGGGACGGCGGTCCCCGAGCTCTTCGTTGCACAGAAGTTGCTGAATGCGCCGGTGCTTAGGCGGAATGAGTCGGCGAAGAAGAGCCTGTTTGACTGTCTTATGGAACCTGCGATACAGTAGTGGTGCAGGCTCTTCTCACAATCTGTCGTATATGGAGTGTCACCAGGCAGGCCGACGAGGATGTCGCGTATATCGGCCATTGCCTGTGGCGGCAACGCTTCAACGAGGAGCTCATGCTTGCGAACGTCTGACGTGATGCGATGAATGCGGAACTTGTTCTAGACTTGAATGAACCATAACGAGGGATCGGCAAGCCACAGCTGTGGTAGCGTCATGGTAGTAGTACTTCCAACAACACCCGAAGAGGGTACAT